TAAAGCTCGTCGAATCTGAATGCGCGGCGAGATACTCCCGCCCGCCGCGGACCGTAGGCACTTCCCCGCGCGTCTAGTGGGCGGCGCGTGGTGGGGGTAATCCATTGCCGTGCGCTTGACAATCAGTTACCCCCACCACGCGCCGCCAACTAGGCGCGCGGGGGAGGTGACCGCGGTCCGCGGCGGGCGGGCGTATCGCGCCGCGCGTTCAGATTCGACAAGCTTTATATATTAATATCTCGACAACTATTGCGAAGATCGCAAAATCGTAGAGGACTTTTTTGTTCAGTTTGGTCCACATTACCTGCCCACAAGCGCTGTACCATTGAGTATGAGACACCCTGTATTGTATATATATGTGTATATATATATTGTTGGAAAAAGGGAAAAGTAAAGCCAATTTCAAATCAAGCGCCAGAGCACTCGGATGTTCCAGATAATTGCGCAGGCGCAGGGCGCTGAAATCGGAGCAGAGGAGCGCGGAGTTTGCCGGCAAAAGGAGAAGCTCACACGCTCTCTCTTCCTCGGAACGTCGGACCGGCAGGACATGCGACCGTGACGATCATTTTCTTTCTGCGCGCTTCGGACTCAGCCGTGTAACAAAATGCGCACAAGTGTGCAGTTGTGTTATCTATCTTTCCTATTTGTCTAAATATATATTGCTTGGAAACCGAAACGTGTGAAATTGCTTCATGTGACCTGCACGAAAATCCACGTGCCTACTCCAAAAATCCAACAGGTTATGGGCCCAGGTGCTGAACAGAGACAGTAAAAGTGAGAGAGAGGACGTCCGTAAAGACAGAGAGCATAAAGACAAAGAAAGTAACTGTGAGAACAGTCGTAAGATCGCGGTCGCAGAAAAAAGTAAAACCGGAGTCGAGTGAATAGAGACTGGAGTCGTGAAGTAGAAGACCACGTGCGAGGAGGGCCGGCGAAAGAAGAGAGATGGCTGCAGCTGAAATCCTGGAAACCGGACAAATTGAAAAACTTGCCGACAAGGACAATTTCCACCTGTGGAAATTTCAACTGACGGTGGCCTTCGAAGCCAAGGAGGTGTACGGTGTAGTAACCGGAGCAGAACCAGCGCCTGATGAAGAAAACGCCTTGGCGAAATGGAAAGTAAAAGATGCAAAGGCTAGAAAATTAATAGTTTCCACAGTAGAAAAAAAAGCGCTAATACACATATTAAATTGCGGGACGTCGAAAGTAATGTTCGAGAAACTGTGTGCCATATATGAACGCGACTCGGAACAGCAGAAATCCGTATTGCTGAGGGAATTTTTTTCGTACAAACACGATAAAACGATCGACATGTCGACAAACGTAAGCAACCTTGAAAATCTTGCGGTGAAACTAAAGTCCTTAGGACACGACATAGATGAACTAACGTTGATTTCGCGGGTGTTGACTATGTTACCTTCAAATTACGGCTATTTCTTGAGTGCATGGGAATCGTCAAATAAAGACGAGATGACTCTCGTAAATCTTACTGCGAGATTGATCGCGGAAGAGAACAGATTTACGGCGGATCAGAAAGATGATTCTGCCGTGACTTTTCAGTCCGCGGAAAGGAAATGCTATAAATGTCGTCCTGGTCACGTAGCAAGGTCGTGCAAAGTCAAACAGACTGTTGACATTAGATGCTTTAAGTGTAAGAAGTTGGGTCACATTGCTAAAAACTGTAGAGAAAACACGCTAGGTTGCTCAATATGTAAGAAAACAAATCACGTGGAGAAAGACTGCTATTTTCGTAGAGACAAAGGCAAAAAGAACGAAAACAGGAAAGTGTCCTTCATGGTAGGACCGTGCTCGAGCGATTCGACCTCGTGGGTTATTGATTCCGGTTCCACGTCACATATGGTGAACGATATTTCATTGCTGAAAAACAGGAAGAGAATAGACACAGAGATAACCTTAGCCAAGAAAGGGTAAAACAATGAGAGCAAAAAGTATCGGCCAAGTGGAT